GGCAGTGGAACTCAGTAGCGATCGAATTTGAACAATAGTAGAAAACGGAGCTGCACTTCTTAGTAGGATCTGGATAAACGCCATCGCTACGATTCTTACATGAAATTGGCAGAGCTAAAAGAGAAGAGCATTTCGGGTACAAGAGCAATAAGGCAATGAGTACGTTTTGTAGGCCGGTAAGGTTGAGCCGTTGTGGGAGTGGGGCGAACGCCGGTGCAGCGATATGATTCCTCAAGTCGGACGCATGCCGCAGCTTCTGGGTCGTAGACAAGGTGACGCTGGCAGTGTAGCTGTCTAGCAAGGCCCCCAACACATGCGAAATATGACGAGGAGCATCTATTCTTCGGTTCGGGATAGAAACCGTCCTTTTTACCCACGCAAGAGAAATCGACGGGAGGCAAAGTTGGCTGTGCAATCGGTTTAACATGTTTTGGATGGTAATGTTTTCCAGAGCAAGCGTAGACATGGTCATACAGATCACAAACGCCTCGTTTAGAGTCAAAGAATAAGGACGATGGGCAGTGGAAAGCATAGGCATAACCGCTGACGCAGGTGAAAAACCGATGGGAACAGTACGGCTTACGGGTAAACGGATCGGGGTAGTTGCCGGACTTTTTGCCCTTACAAGAGAACGGGATGCGTTCTAAACAAGGAGCTGAGTGCTAAACGGAATCGCGTAAACAGTAAATTACTTGGACGATGGTATGTCGGCGGTCGTCGCGTGGTCGGCTGAGGCTTTCCTCCGCATACATAGATGTAGTGTTTGAAGTCACACTGCTGCCTATGTGGATCAAAGTACAGTCCGCGTGGGCAGTGCATCTTGTAGCCATGACCGTAGCCGCAGGAAATGAATTCGCTACAACATCGTTCGTGGTGCTCCGCGTATAAACCGTTTGGGCGATGTTTGCAGAAGTGGTCGTCTGAGAAAGGGGAGCGATCAACGTTCGTCGACACCGTATTCAACACGAACAAGCTTACACTTCAAATTGCGGTGGTGATACCTATCTGGTTTTGGTTTCGGACTTGGTCTGCCACCACATTCGTAGATCTCGTGCGGGTTGTCACAGCGGTCCCTCTTCGAATCATAATCTAGGCCATGCGGGCATTCTCGCAAGTAAAACTCGCCGCCAACGCAGGAAATGAACTTCGGCTTGCATTTTCCAATCGGATAATTGCCGTCCATTTTTTTGAAGCAGAAGTCTAAAACAATTGTGCATATCATTAAAAGCGGTGCGGTTTACGTACTGTGATGAGGATAGTATTTGCGGTGGCCTCCGTGCGAACGTACAGGAAGTTTCACATAATTATGATGCGGCTTCACATGTTCATAATGCTGCAGCTTCGGAGACGGAGGAAAAGGGTACTTTCCGCCGTAATGGTCTTCGCCGATGATGTAACCGGCAAAAGCGCTGCTGCACAGCAGAGCCAGCGCGAACAACAACATCTTTACCAACACAACCGACCAAAGCGAACCACTCCAAACAGTACAGTTTCCTAACCAATCCCACGACCAAACAGCACGGCGTTTCCGCTCCTTCTCCGGTTTATATGCAGGTGGTCAGAATCATCTCTGATTCGCGACGGTTACACGTTCGGATGTGGTTAAGTTGCAAATGGTGAAAATTTGTTTATTAGATCTCCAGCCGCCGCACTTCGGACCACTTTTGCACTCTAGTCAAATAATTAATATCACCCTCGCAGCACAACGCTACAGTATCGATCGGGTAGTTGGACTTCGCCTACTGTTCGCAGTGCATCGGCATTACAAGTTACGCTCGTTATTACTGCGAATATCCTTATGCGTTGGCCAGTGGCGTTTTCGCCACCCGCCCCGCACCGACATCTTTGTTCACTCGCTCAGTAACTTTACCTTAACGGCCATGTACTGATTACGATATTTGGCGTAAGTTTCATGCTATGCCAATAGGAACAGCGTACACGGTTAACGAACGACTATACAAGACCACAGAATCGTTTGGCCAGACAAAAGTGCGTTTTAGAACTTCACCGCCCCTCAATTTTCTTGCATTAATACAAACTCTCTGACTCACTGTCACTCACGGTTTTGTCATTTTCTAGCATTAGTACTCAAAGTCCAGCCATACGCGTACGGCAATATGCTAACTGTCGCATTCTACACTCAGAATGAATCATAAAGATAGCTTTCACTTATTACCACAAGGACCGTCACATTAGTATCACATTAGTGCTCGGCTACTCAGCTGAAATTTCACATTCACTTGTAATCGGAAAATAGGCTGCTCCGCGCTGCACTGCTGGTAACGTGGACAGTTGTCTGTTGCAGACTTCACAAACAGGCCACACACGCTCGAAAACTGATGCTTTTAAAATCTACCGGAAAAATCACAACACTCAGACGGAAACCGTTTTGTTTACTATCAGCTGTTAGACCTGTTTCGATTTTACTTACAAATTCATTGTTTTCATACCAGTACGACAGTTGTCAGATGAATCAAGGCGTTTTTGCACACCGTTTCAACGATGGCACTGAAAAGCATCGTCATCAGTGTTAGCTTGAAATCGTCTACATTCGCTTTACACTAATAGTGCCATACAGAATACCTAATACAAGCCATTTCTTTGAGATTTTCAGATAAATTTCATCGCCCTTTGATCTAAAGAATGACGTTCATTGGGGAAAGTTATTTTAACAGATCAGAGAATCCATGGCATTTGAGCTTTTGTTGCGCCTTAATCCGCGGCAACTTCACGGTGTTAACTCAAAAACATGTTCGTGGCACCAGCCAGGTTCTCTCTTGAACATCCAGCATGCATGTGACCTCAACTGGAGTTCTCTGTTAACTCTGACCAATCGGTCACGAAATATTGCAGCCACGACTTCAACTGCGTTCGTCGATACTCGTGGTCATGCTTGATAAATCTTTGCGCAAATTCAACTCAAAACGGTGTATTATATCTGACTCCCAAACAGTCGGCGTCGAGCAAAAATAAGAAACCGACACACTGTCAATCGTTTCTGCCATCCTGATTAGCCGGTAAATTAATATATAGAGTTTAAAGTCTGTTAGCCAGTTTCGCGTACAACAGACATATTTCTCTACAAAAGCATTAGCGAATTCCATTGTGGCGGTACTTATCAACTCATCCACCTGATTGTCACTGAAAAATACTGGGTGAATCATCGATCAAGCATGTTAGCACTTAACAGAAGAACTCTACACCAACCATAAATATAAACATTCTTCCACCACCATTCCCAACATTGATCCTTTATTCCGTATAAAATGGCATCGGTCCAACGATATTCCATTCCAGTTGCACGCTTTGCATGCCTGATAACCATCACATTGTTGTCTACATGATAAAGCGCTTTTTGTATTTCTCTGTAGATGTAACGAGGATCCTTGATTTGCCTCGTTACATTTAAAATCGATCGATTTCTTCATTATCTGTTTATGAAAAAGATCCCTGAATCTACCTCGCAAGGAAACAGAATGACGACAAGTGTGCTTAGACATGCACTAGCCTGAAACCTTTTTATGTAGATATTGAATCAGGCATATGTCGAAAACGTAACTTTCCCCCTTGTGCAGCGGCTGTAGCTGCCTTTTCTTTTGTCCAACCGTGAAGAACCGTGCATCCCGAATAGCCTGCTTGATCTCAGTCAGACACTTGGCGTCATATTAATGGAATACATGCATCAGCTTGGATATTCTTATATCAGCTGACAGTTTCGGGTTCCCCTTTTATATTACTTCGTGCGATGTTCGCCGGGGTAATGTTTCTACTACTGTTCGTGGTAGTAGAACGGATTTGATATTACCGCTTATCATGTAAAGCCTGTCATTAACTTGGCTATCTTCAGGATGACTGGAGTAAAGCAGCTGTTGCATTAGCTTGCAGCGCAATGTTTTACGACTGTAAAAATCAGGTCATGCGTAAACCTTGCAACGTACGGGATTCACAACAGCATATTACTTCAAACAACTCATGACTCATGTTTACATTAGAACTCGCGCTTAATTTCGTATTACTGAGATGTTCTCGGTACGTCAAAAGTTACATAACCCAAAGTTACATCCGTACGTTGTAATTCTCTGTACTTCATGCCACAATTTGTTTCACCTCATGAAAGAACAGCAGCGCATGGATCGTCATTCCGCTGTGTTCCACGTCTTAACGCATCAAGCTGAGCGACTGTTGTTACGCGATGGCCTGCAAGTAGTGCGGGAAACTACTCTCGTAAATTGAGGTGGTGGTGTTATGTTACTCATCACTCGCCAATGGCGTATCTTTCTGTGATCTTCGGATGGATGAAGGTTGGGAGACTTTGACAGTAGTTTACGACGGTTGACATGCAGAATGAACTGTCAAACAACTACTCGCCAAAATACGGTATAATTGGTGCCACATTGCCACGTCGGCCCGAAAAACGCCAACCACTCGGCGAAACACGGAATGTAATTGGTAAACGGATCCACAGCATCATCCAGATCTTGAACATCGTCAGGATTTTCATAGCCAGTCATAATGCCAGAACTCCATCGATAGACGCAGTTGCCGACGTCATTGCCACGGAAACGAAAAACATCCAACACGACCTTGTTGCAATATTCGGGACCCGGTGATTTACCGCACTTGTTGCGCACTGAAACGACGTCCACCAACAGTTCCTTGAGAATGCAAGAAGCTATACGATTACCGCACTTGTAGCGCAGTGAAACGACGTCCACCAACAATTTCTTGAAAATGCAAGAAGCTATACGACCATCTCCCAGAACAGAGCTCAAACGGCGGTGTTTGGATCGTATCAAAAACGAGAACTGTACTATTTCTAG